TTAAACGCGTTTTTCTCGAAATGGTATTTTTCAAATTTGCTGACACTATAACTTAAAGACCAATTATCCGATTGACTTGAAATTTTAACAGAATGTTCTAGACATGCTTTATCGTTGAATGACGTAGGATATTCTTGATTGGATGAAAACTGTAATTTTCGCAACGAAAAAACGACAATTCTTTTTAAGGAAAAATTGAAAAATTTCTTAAAAACTCCGCCATTTTGTTCAGATTTCAACATTTCTCAAACAAAGATATCCTGCGTCATTCAACAATAAAGCATGTCTAGTTTAAGAGCGTCTTTGTCTTTTTTCAATTCAGGCACTCTAGCGAACTGTATGAAGTCAGCAGTTGAAGCACTTTTTTTTTGGCGTCTCGGGAGATAGCTCATAACTCGGTCGCCTTTAATTATTTTGGTACGAAAAAATTATTTTACACAGTTCATTTATAGGCAAATACATCCATAAAGTTTAAAAAAATTCCATGGAATACTTTTCTTAAAAAAAATTCCGAAAAATGACCTAAGTTTAATTAATATTAAAACTACCAACTTTCTTTTAGACATTAATTTCTCCTTTATAAATTTGTACTTTTTACTGGTTTAAGTGTTTCAGTGTCAAACTTCAGACTGATTTTATTTAGACTCTATTTGTCTAAATAATCATAATTAAATGCGATTTGATTGCGCTCACTGCGATTTATTTATAAGAGCCCAACTATTTTAGCCATGATTTTCGGTCACTTTTACGGGCAGTGAAAATCCTCACTTGAAAGTTCGATCGGTGCCACGTGTTTGTGGACCAGCCCCAACGTGTACCTCTCCCTCCCTCGTGGTGATCAATACTGCGAGAGGGGTCTTCTGCACAGGACAGGTACCGTTGGTCCAGATTTCCATCGAAAACAATACGGGTAAAAAGGAGTCAGTTTGTCGACGCAAGTTCGTCGCTACTGTGCCCTTGAAAATATTCCATCAACGAATACGTTTGATCTTTTTAAATGAAAGATTTGCAGAATTTTGGTTTCTCGTTATGATAGAATTTTTCAAATATAAGAATTCAGTTTCATGTAATTGAATCTTTACAACGAAAGACAAATATGAAAATTGTGATGCTATAAAACTAGATATAACATTTTTGCGAGACAGTAATCGGTATCTGCGTCTGTCGAGGCGAGTCAACAATTTCAGAAATACCTCACAGTCTTTATTTATAAATTATTCGAACTAGACGGAAACTGTATAACTTAATTACTACTATACTATACAGTTTTTGTGAAAAGAAAGTAGGCGAAACTCCACAAAAATTAATTCATGCTGTAATATATAATTATAAATATTTATAATATATACATATAATGTATATAAAACAAAAATGTACGATTTTAAATTACTCTAGTCTTCTCGATTGTCGTTTTCCTATTCTTACGCCTTACATTTTTAATATATTATCATTACTAAGTAACAGTTGATATCTATTGAATTATTTTTAATTTTGTTTTTATTGTTCAGTAAAACCCACAATAGAAACTTTTTGAATTGCGCGCAATCAACATTTTCACTCGGTTGCAGCGCGTGGCGACGAAGTGGCAACTTTTATAATTACAACTGTGCGCATCATGGTGCGCATTGCGCACTACAAGTATTTATTCCATGATAGCTCCTTGCCCATTATGTAACGGTTAAATAAGTGATTACATCAGGTTACATTGTAACTATTGGTAACCACGTGTAATGAACGTCATACATAACGTACATAACTACAGCTACGATAGAATTTAGTAAATAAAACAATATTGCTAGTAATTTAACAAACACTTAAAAATTGTTAAAATTAGTAGTAAGATATAGAATAAAAAGGAAGAGAGAAAAATAACTTGGTTGAACTTTTAGGTTATTGAGACTAGAGATAAATGGACCGGCGTATTGCGTCTTATCATTACCAATTAATTTTAATGAATAACTAAACCAAGGCTTGTATATATATCGACAGTCTGTAAGGGAAATATTGTCTAGACTTGTAGAGACTAATGAGATGATATCTGCGATCTGAGCACGAGATTTAAACAGTGATTTAATTATTAATAGTACCTCGCGGGACGGACGATATGAAGAAACTGGATATGAGCAAATATCGGTACATTCACGATCAGTTGCAAAATCCCGAAGATCACAGACCGCTCCACCTTGCTGTCATGAATTGCGATATAGTAGCTGTAAAATGGCTCATTGGATCATGGACTCAATGTACCAGATGTTATTACGTTAATGTTCCAAATGGAGATGGAGATACGGCACTGCACCTGGCCATTCAGAAAATACACAAAGATATCGTACAGATCCTCGTAGATCAGGATGCCAATATCAACTGGAAAAATAGAAAGGGCGAGACACCGCTCCATTTTGCTGTGCGACAAAAACAAAGAGAAATTTGCAGGTTGTTAATCGAAAGAGGAGCTGACGTGAATGCCCAAAACAGAGATGGAGACACGGCACTGCATTTTGCTGTGCTAAGAAGACAAGAAGAAATTTGCAGGATGCTAATCGAGAGAGGAGCTGACATAAATGCCCAAAACACAGATAAAGAAACGGCACTTCACCTAGCCAGTCAGGCGACATGCAAAGATATCGTACAAATCCTCGTAGATCAGGAAGCCGACGTCAACGTGAAAACTAAAAAGGGCAAGACACCGCTCCATTTTGCAGTGCTAGAAAGACAAGAAGAAATTTGCAGGATGCTAATCGAGAGAGGAGCTGACGTAAATGCCCAAGACAGAGATGAACTCACGGCACTGCATTTTGCTGTGCTAAGAAGACAAGAAGAAATTTGCAGGTTGCTAATCGAGAGAGGAGCTGACGTGAATGCCCAAGACATATTTAGAAGAACGGCACTGTTATTAGCCATTGAGAACAGATCCAAAAATATCGTACAAATCCTCGTAGATCAGGGTGCCGATGTCAACTTGAAAGATGCAAGTGGCAACACACCGCCCTATGTTGCACTACAAAAATATGAAATAGAAATTTTCAAGTTGCTAATCGAGAGAGGAGCTGATGTGAATGCCAGAAGCAGTGATAAAGAAACGGTACTGCACCTAGCCATTCAGGGAACATTCAAAGATATCGTACAAATCCTCGTAGATCAGGGTGCCGATGTCAACTTAAGAACTGCAAGGGGCGAGACACCGCTCCATTTTGCAGTGCGAACCGGAGAAAAAGAAATTTGCAGGATGCTAATCGAGAGAGGAGCTGACGTGAATGCTCAAAGCTTAGAATGGGAATCGACACTGCACACAGCCATTCAGTACAGAGACAAAGGTATCGTACAAATCCTCGTAGATCAGGGCGCCGATGTCAACTTGAACACACCGCTACATTGTGCTGCGGAACTAGGACTAGACGAAATTTGCAGGTTTCTACTCCAGAGAGGAGCTAACGTGAATGCCAAAAACACAAGAGGATTTACGGCACTGTTCTTAACCATTATCAAGGGACACAAAAATACCGTACAAATCCTCGTAGATCATGGTGCCGATATCAGCTCGAAAAGTATGACGCTTGAAATGGCAATTACACGTGGAGAAGAAGAAATTTGCACGTTGCTCATCGAGAGAGGAGCTGACGTGCATGCCAACATACATGGATGGACGGTACTGTACCAGGCCATTCGGCCGGAACTCAAAAGTACCGTACGACACCTCGTAGATCGGGGTGCCGATGTCAATTCGAAAACTAGATATAACTTGGAGACTCCGCTCCATTCTGCTGCGCAACAAGGATTAAAAAAAATTTGCAAGTTTCTCATCGGGAGAGGAGCTGATGTGCGTGCCAAAAACAAAAGTGGACAAACGGCACTGGACATGGCCATTCAGGAGAGACGCGAAGATACCGTACAACTCCTCATAGATTACGGCGCCCATGTCAACTCGAAAACTGAATGTGGCGAAACACTGTTTCAATCTGTTGCGCGAGCAGGACTAAGAAAAATTTGCAGGTTGCTCATCGAGAGAGGAGCTAACGTGCGTGCCGAATTAGGAGATGAAGAAACGGCACTGCACCTAGCCATTGAGAAGGGACTCGAAAGTATCGTACAACTCCTCGTAGATCAGGGTGTCGATGTCAACTTGAAATTTAAATGGGGCCAGACACTACTTCATTTTGCTGCGCAAAAAGGAAAAGAAGACATTTGCAGGTTGCTAATCGAACGAGGTGCTGACGTGAATGCCAAAGAGGAAAAAAGTGGATACACAGCGTTGCATTTTGCCACTAGATTTGGTAATGTGCGTATCATGGAAATTCTCTTGAATTCGGGCGTCGACATCGATTGCGTAAATGTAGATGGTGATACTGCACTTCATCTTGCATCCAGCCGCAGTGAGATGCAACTCGTTCGGCCTCTCATAGAGAATGGTTGTAACGCACACATTGTTAACAAATACCATCAAACAGCGTATCAGTTACACAATTCTAAGTTTGAATATAAAGGCCGCTATATCTCCGGTATCCAAGAGCTACTAGTTACAATGCAGATTGCTAGTTTGGACGTGCATAACGGAAATGTGGAAAACCTTAATCTCCCTAAGGATTTAGTTTGGGATCAGCTTGTGGTGAAATGTATTAAAGAGACAAAGAGACTGAAAAGCACAAAAATTAACGACACTATCCTAACATTTCATGATATCCTAACAAAACGCTTAGACCACATAGTATTATACGTGAGGGATGTTGTTCCGGTTTTGAAAGACTTCAAATTCCAGAGAGCATTTCCTACGTATTACGACATAATAGAACGTCGTTTCATCAGAGCTATGAGAATGTTACGAAACGAGTTGTTAGACGAGGGCGTTACATTTTTCCGCTATTACCTCGGTAGAGATTATGATTTACTTTGTATTCAAAGAATATTACACTACCTGGATATCAAGGATCTTACGAATTTGAGAGATGCTTGTAAAAACGTACGTTCTAACATTATCAATGTAATAAAACAGGAAACACTGTTTCAATCTGATGCGCGAGCAGGTCTAAGAAAAATTTGCAGGTTGCTCATCGAGAGAGGAGTTACCGTGCGTGCCGAATTAGGAGATGAAGAAACGGCGCTACACCTAGCCATTGAGAAGGGATACGAAAGTATCGTACAACTCCTCGTAGATCAGGGTGCCGATGTCAACTTGAAATTTAAATGGGGCCAGACACTACTTCATTTTGCTGCGCAAAAAGGAAAAGAAGACATTTGCAGGTTGCTAATCGAACGAGGTGCTGACGTGAATGCCAAAGAGGAAAAAAGTGGATACACAGCGTTGCATTTTGCCACTAGATTTGGTAATGTGCGTATCATGGAAATTCTCTTGAATTCGGGCGTCGACATCGATTGCGTAAATGTAGATGGTGATACTGCACTTCATCTTGCATCCAGCCGCAGTGAGATGCAACTCGTTCGGTCTCTCATAGAAAATGGTTGTAACGCAAACATTGTTAACAAATACCATCAAACAGCGTGGCACTTACACAATTCTAAGTTTGAATATAAAGGCGGCCATATCTCCAGTCTCCAACAGCTACTAGTTAAAATGCAGATTGCTAGTTTGGACGTGCATAACGGAAATGTGGAAAACCTTAATCTCCCTAAGGATTTAGTTTGGGATCAGTTTGTGGACAAATGTATTAAAGAGACAAACAGACTGAAAAGCACAAACATTAACGATAGTATCCTAACATTTCATGATATCCTAACAAAACGCTTAGACCACATAGTATTATACGTGAGGGATGTTGTTCCGGCTTTGAAAGGCTTCAAATTCCAGAGAGAATTTCCTACGTATCACGACATAATAAAACCTCGTTTGATCAGAACTATGAGAATGTTACGAAACGAGTTGTTAGACGAGGGCGTTACATTTTTCCGCTATTACCTCGGTAGAGATTATGATTTACTTTGTATTCAAAGAATATTACACTACCTGGATATCAAGAATCTTACGAATTTGAGAGATGCTTGTAAAAACGTACGTTCTAACATTATCAATGTAATAAAACAGGAAACACTGTTTCAATCTGATGCGCCAGCAGGTCTAAGAAAAATTTGCAGGTTGCTCATCGAGAGAGGAGTTACCGTGCGTGCCGAATTAGGAGATGAAGAAACGGCGCTGCACCTAGCCATTGAAAAGGGATACGAAAATATCGTACAACTCCTCATAGATCAGGGTGCCGATGTCAACTTGAAATTTAAATGGGGCCAGACACTACTTCAAGTATTATACGTGAGGGATGTTGTTCCGGTTTTGAAAGACTTCAAATTCCAGAGAGAATTTCCTACGTATCACGACATAATAGAACGTCGTTTCATCAGAGCTATGAAAATGTTACGAAACGAGTTGTTAGACGAGGGCGTTACATTTTTCCGCTATTACCTCGGTAGAGATTATGATTTACTTTGTATTCAAAGAATATTACACTACCTGGATATCAAGGATCTTACGAATTTGAGAGATGCTTGTAAAAACGTACGTTCTAACATTATCAATGTAATAAAACAGGAAACACTGTTTCAATCTGATGCGCGAGCAGGTCTAAGAAAAATTTGCAGGTTGCTCATCGAGAGAGGAGTTACCGTGCGTGCCGAATTAGGAGATGAAGAAACGGCGCTACACCTAGCCATTGAGAAGGGATACGAAAGTATCGTACAACTCCTCGTAGATCAGGGTGCCGATGTCAACTTGAAATTTAAATGGGGCCAGACACTACTTCATTTTGCTGCGCAAAAAGGAAAAGAAGACATTTGCAGGTTGCTAATCGAACGAGGTGCTGACGTGAATGCCAAAGAGGAAAAAAGTGGATACACAGCGTTGCATTTTGCCACTAGATTTGGTAATGTGCGTATCATGGAAATTCTCTTGAATTCGGGCGTCGACATCGATTGCGTAAATGTAGATGGTGATACTGCACTTCATCTTGCATCCAGCCGCAGTGAGATGCAACTCGTTCGGTCTCTCATAGAAAATGGTTGTAACGCAAACATTGTTAACAAATACCATCAAACAGCGTGGCACTTACACAATTCTAAGTTTGAATATAAAGGCGGCCATATCTCCAGTCTCCAACAGCTACTAGTTAAAATGCAGATTGCTAGTTTGGACGTGCATAACGGAAATGTGGAAAACCTTAATCTCCCTAAGGATTTAGTTTGGGATCAGTTTGTG